CAGGAACAATATAAATATGAATAACAAACAGTCTCGTTGGATCTCGATGTTTATCAGTGTATATAACTCTGTTTAGGGGTTTTATGAATTAATTACCATCATCATCGTGACCTTTTTCAGTTACGAAGTATTATTTGAAAGGTTACATGTTATTGCATTATTCTTCAAACTTTGGAAACAGGTTTAGAATCCTAATAAATGCGCAATCCCCACACGGGTCCTTTTCATATAAGGAAAATACTCTAAAACATAAATATTCATTGTTGCCAACAATTAAAATTGGTTTAGCACAATATAACAGTGTCGTGCCAAAATTGTAGGTTGACATAAATAGATTAACGGAGTTTAACAAGGATAAATTTTGTTTTAGGAATAATAAATATTATATGGTGGGGCGTATCCAAATATATTGCCTAATAGGTACATATTCGAGTAAAAAGTACATTTCAAAGCTGCATATTAGAATTATTTTAGCCTATGATATTACATAGACAGTATAAAACAAAATTTATATATTAAAATTCAAAAAAAAGTAAATACATATGAGAGAGCACCTATAGACGTCTCCAGCATTTAATATTGTATCTATATACATTGAATACAATATTTTTATTTTTCATACGTTGTCCCAACATGTGATTGCAATAATTCATTAACGTCCTCATTCTGTATCATTACCTATACAGTGTGATTGAAAAGTCCCGGAACGGTTTAATATTTTAAAAAATAATGTAGATAGAGCTAAAATACTTGGTACAAAGATACAGGGCAAAAAACTCTATTTTAACACATATTCAGTGATCCAATAATTCTTCAGGGGGACGGCCCACAATGAGTCGGAAGAAAATCTTAAATGGAAGCATAGGTCAATATGCGCATCAAATTAAAGGTCTTTTTTAGTAGAATACAATGCCGCAAACCGTATTTCAAAAGGTTGATCCTGCACAAAATGGCAGATGTTCAAAGATTTCTTGAATCCGCCATTTTGAATCTTTGAACGACTGCCATTTTTTACTCAGGCATTCTTTTGAGCTTGAATTTACGGCATCGTAATCTAAAAGTGAAGACCTTTAATTTTATGTGCATATCGACTTATTCTTACGTTAACAATTTTCTTCCGATTCCTAGGGCTGTGCCCCCTGAGGAGAAAGCGTATAATAGCAATGTAAATTAAATGAATCTTTGAACAACTGTCATTTTGCGCAGGATCAACCTTTTGAAGTGCGGTTTGTGGCATTGTATTTTATATAAAAATACATTTAATTTGATGTGCATATTGACCTATGCTTCTATTTAAGATTTTCTTCTGACTCCTTGTGGGACGTCCCCCTGAAGAGTTATTGAATCACTGAATATGTGTTAAAATACAGTTTTATGCCCTGTAACTTTGTACCAAGTATTTTAGCTCTATCTGCATTATTTTTTAAAATATTAAACCGTTCCGGGACTTTTCAATCACACTGTATATTTTACTATTATTTACTGCCTGTTATTAACGGCCTGTTAGTTTATTTTATATTAGGCCTATATTTCTTGTATGGCAAGATGCATTAGTTTAGTCAAGGATTGTTTCACTGCATTGTGATGGTGTTATTGTAAATTATACCCTTAGCATTATGATGTTTGTAAAAATTTTGTAGACCGTATAAAATAAATAAATAAATAATATCCTCTAACTCTTAACCAAGGATTTTTCATTTTCCTTTTTAATATGGGATATGACCCAAGATAAATATTTTGTAGGTAAACGTAGGCAAATATAAAATATATGTCCCTATATTGAACATATGTATATTGGTCTGGAGAGAATATTGTGCGAATATTAGTTCAAAAACTAGTTTCACTTCAAAGTCTTCGGTTCATGATATCACTTTGCAGACACAGAATGACATGTTCTGATTAGAACTGTGTTCTAAGATTCTTAGATCCTTACTTAAATTGGTCTGTAATATCAGTCAAGCTAGATCATTTGTGGTTCAGTATCGAAGACCTCAGAGCCAGAGGCCTTGCAACTGTATATTGCTGCTTTGACTGCTTTATTGTATAACTGACAGCCGCAGGTTGTGCAATAAACGATCCCACAGGCACTAATTTCCCTCAGAGGGACAAACTTCCGCTCATTGCTGTCAATGGTTGAACCGTTTGATGGCTGTGGCTGTAGTGGTAGGTCTACTTCCACAGCAATAAAGCCATGTTTGTCTAGCTCAATTAGACCTAACATTGGTAAACAAATACATAGTTAACTGTGACTACCCCTTTTGTCCAGGTTCTGTAGTTGCTACTCACAACTATTTAGTTTTGAATATGCGAATAGACAAACGGTCTGATAGTTACTGTCCCCTCAATAATGATTTTTCATACAGGTGGTGGATAAAAATATTAAAATCTCAAAGCACTTCACACAACAATTTTCAACAATAATTGTCACATTTTAGTTTAGTTTTGACATATTCCTATGTCCCCAACTGCCCTTTAACCTACTGATCATTGATATGATACAACGATGTTGAAATACCGTTACGGTAGGCCTATATATGTCACATGTACAAGCCAAGGGTCAAAACCGTGGAAAGAAAGGCCGTATACCGCTAAATCAATATTATTAAGAAACAACCATATACTGTGCTCAATAAATCGTACTGCATCCTAGTGCTACAAACAGTCCACACGTTTCCACTTTTAATAAACTACATTAGTCGCGACAAATACCTTTAGTCTTTGGACGGGTTGAGTTAGATTAAAAATACAATGTTATCCATTAACATATTATTAAGTGACGCCGGAGTCGATCTTGTCATAACAATCCACGTTTTATCTGTGGGTGATCTCATAGAAATGATATAGAAGAAGCAATCAACCGTTTCCACAAGGTTGTCCTCATACAATATGTTGTTTACACAGAACAATCATCTCAATAACAGAGATTTCTATATGTGCTTCTTTTTTAACGTCCAATTTCTGTGGTAAATTGATTTCATTGAAATATTCTAAGAAGAGACTACGATTAATATCAATCGGTGGCTATATAATTTCGTTATTTTGTTGAAATATCTTGATTTATTGTAGCAATAAAATCTGGCAAATCAGTGACTACGTCACTTATTCACGTAGTCAACAGGTTTGCTGCGGCAGAGGTATCATTTTGGAATAGCAGTCAAAAAGTTAAATTTTTCGTTCCATAACACATTTAACTGTGTGCACAATCTGTATTTGACATTAGAGCTTTTAAACGCAGAAATTAAAAATATAAAACCTTACATTTTACAACACAGTGCAGTTGCCAACTGATCCTTTTCGTATGCTTTAATGACAGTGCGGGAAAATATAAATTTTTTTGTATTTTTCATAATTTGTTACTAAAAACAAAAACATAATAAAAACACGAGTTGTAGATTGGAAATAAAATACAGTTTTGTTTGAAATAAATAATATATTTACAGTTCTACATCTATACAAATGTAGAATTTCATATAAACATAAATTAAGTAAAAAAGTACAAACTTATCCTACATTTTCTCTGTTGTTTGAAAGAAACCGTTACAATGAGCTATTTTTTTTTTTAATCTCCTTAAAACGTGTACATTTAGTTGTATTAAATAGAATGTCATAAAATAGCACTGTTAACTAATAATGCATTCTTACATTTTCTTTTTATTTGATCAGTTGCTTTATAATGGAAACATTATTCTAATAATACCGGTAGTTGTGATAACAATAAAGTTATTGATTGATTTTTTAAATCTAAACGGTAAAAATTGAATTTCTGTTAAGCATGAGGTAATTAAGCGAAATGTAAATAGTTACTATTAGTATTTCAATATAAATTCATATAACACGCTAAATTAATTTACGGTGTGTAGAGTGAGCTTTAATATTATTTAATATTTGCTTTATTTAATACCAAAACATTAATTTAGTCCATATAACAAAGCAATATCAGTAGTCATAATTATACAATCGTAATAGTTTTAAATATTATCATTAATGGGAAAAATTAACACTGCATAATTAACAGTAACAGCAACAGTTACAGTGACAGTTACAGTTTGCAGTAACAGTTTTTTCTGCATTGAATTTGTTTATAAATATAAAAAAAAACTTGTTGAAACTATTTTATGAGTAATAATGTTTATCAAAACATTGACAAATTTCCTTCTTTAAATCCGTTAAACATATTTCGTATACTTGGCTCCATAAAACTAGTAAAATATGTTGTACAATTATCTAATTTTGTCAGGTTAATTGTATTTACTGTGTTTTTCAGTTTAAGCTCCAAGATTTTCTAACTTTATCAGGATAACATTAATTATAGTTTTTCACATAGTTTCAACATAAGTAAAATTAAATGTATCTGTACTTGGATATATACGCCTCAACGTGGATCATTTTGGCCTAATTGCATTTTTTTTTTTTTAATTTAATAAAAATCTCAGTCAAATGTAGATAAAGTTACCCTGTCATAATTGTTGGAACTAACTACAGTCAACCTTCCAAGTGCAATTATGCATACCACGAGTAGCGTCAAGATGCAAACATTGCAAGCTGTTCCTTAGTTTACTTGTATCTTGTAATATTAACAAGTGAACCAATTTAATTTTTATTTCAGCTATTCTACGCTGTGAGTGCAGCTTGGGGTTTCGATTGTTGTTTATTATAAATGTCTACAAATCACTTGAAACTACTTGAGAATTGTACGACGTACGTGTTATTAAATTTACAGAAAGTAAATACAAACTCCAAAGCGCCCTTGCCCTTTATAAGGAGCTGAGGTTGTAGTTCCTTTAAAGGCTTCTCACTAACATTGACCGATTAAAAACATAACAAAAGCTAAGTATAAAACAATTTCCATTTCAAGTGATATTACTGACAGAAAATATACAAAATGGAGTATGCGAGTTGTTAATCAATTGTGATTCTTGAACATTTATTTACTTAAGTATTAATAAGGAGGGAACTTTTTTTTTTAAATTTTATTTCGATAATTTTTTCACACCGTTGGTCTAATGCTATTGGTGCTAGAAGCATCTTTCCAAATGTTTATTCAAAAACGATAATAATATTGTCCAAATCCAAACCCTCCCACTTGACCCCCCACCACTCTTAAAATGATGTAACTTTTTATAAAACAATAGTTGTCAATACTGAACGGTTTGAAGTCGGAAGGAAACTGTTACTTTGGTGGTGGCTTTGGTAAAATGCACCATACTACATTTGGCTCCTCATACAAAACGTGTTACTGTGTGTACGGTGGTATTGTGTGTAGATCAGCTGGTTGTTGTAAATCAGCTGTTTGTAGTTAAGCTGTTTCTGTGGTCAGCTGTTGCAGAGGCAGGTGTCTCTCATACTGTTGGTTATCCACTCATAATACCTGCTAACCCTGGTATAAACTCCTGGGTAACCTTCCCTGCCGCAGCCAACTCCCCAGGACACAATACCTGCAATCAAAGACGTAGGTAATATTCCTTATACATTTATCGTCCTTAAGAATCAGTTCTGCAAGCTGTTTGAACGTCAGGATGTTAGATAAGCCAAAGATAAATTTTAGGTGATACTGTTAAATCTTAGTTTTAAGAGAACTTTCAAAAATACTAGCCGACGTAAAAGCAAACCGTAATTGATTCTTAATTGTACAGTTCTAGCAAATATCTTTGTTAATTCAACCGTGTAGTCACTCATGAGGACTGAGATTTAATAACCTTCTTTTTTCGTGAAAGCTTACCTTCTAGCTAACCTAGTAGGCTATTCCCTTCTAATTTGTGTAGTGTTTTGTTTATTATTTGAACCTTGTTTGTATTTTAAATAGTGTAATTAATTTTTAATCTACTTATAAACTATTACTTGTCGTCTGGTTTTATAAATGAAGAATAAAGTAAAATTTACTCATACAATTTACCATATTATAAGAGACAAACATTTAGAGCACGGTCCACGAGAGTCTGCAGTTGAGGGAGGAGCCTATTTACCACGAGACTTTGAAGGAGCCAATCAGAACCGCACGTTGTTGCCAAATCTAACAATACCAGCTGATTTTAAAATATCGTTTAGTATGTTTTAATTAGTGTCAACAATAAGTGAACGGGTGATGTTGAAACGTCACCCTAGTCCAGTCTGGTATTGGCTGCCGCCAACTGCAGACTCTCGTGCCCCGAGTGTAGTCTTTCTATAAGACAATTTTATACTTAACATTTTAACTTTCACAGTGGTATTTCCTTTTCAAAAACCTAGTTTGTTTCAATAGAAGTAGGGATGGATTCAAGTTTAGCCTCCTCTAATGGATGGGGCCTTGTTGTGTGGCAACGTTGCACCATCCGACCTATTGCCATGGTAATAACAACAACTAACGTGTAATCATAAACATTGCACAGACCAGCTGTTTTAATAGGCCGGGGCTGCGACGTTGCCACGTTTGTCTCGCCACGACCTTGTATTAAATAAGGCCATAATTTCGGATTACTACTTTACACAAAGTAAAGTTGATTTTATAAAAAAAATCAATATAGAAAATTAAAAACCTACTGATAAGATAATAATCAAACATATTTGTAGATTTGTTAAAACAAAAGTTTTAAATTATTGTTGTTTATAAATAACAGTACCTGCAATCGTGTATTTATCTCCTCCAGTATCAACCAGCAGAGGTCCTCCACTGTCGCCCTGTAAAGATCATGCACTGATTAATCATTGATCAACTAATCATTGATTGATAAATCATTGATCAACATTAATTATTGATTGAGTAATCATTGATGAATATAAATTATTGATTGATTAATCTCCAAGCATTGTATCAATAATCACTTATTGGGTTGATAATCGTTGACGTGGTAAAATTGTGTAAAACACTCTAGACCGCTCTTAGGGATTACTAATGTTTCTGAGGATTTCCTTTTTCCCCTAACAAATTTTCATAAAGCAACACAAATAGTTTTCACCAGCATATTTTGTTATCAGCTGATTAACTTGTCACAGAGGGACTGTAGCGAACTGGTCTAATCCTTAGCAAACAGACATTAGCAACAATGGACGTGTTCATATACCGAGCTGGACAAGCCGTCACTGTATGTGGACTTTGATGGGGATAATAAACCAGGCCCTGTCTCTGGATTTGAATTATTGGTGCGTGCTCTGTACCATACCATACCACTGCCCATGGGGGCACAATAAGTCTAATGTGACATCGTTTGTCATCATTTGACCACTATCAAGTTTGCTGAGTTTTACGTGTCCATCAAACATTAATGTACGATTTTTAAAACGATTTTCTCGTTAGTTCAGATTTTTTGTACAGATAAGAGACATTTTTGTAAGGCCTTTTGATTACATGTAGTAAATAATACTTAGAATAGTTTAAATTACACAGTTGTTGCTTTTATAGATGGTAAATGCATATAATATGTAAATATTGTTACGATTTTTGTATACCTTAATTATTTACGCCAGCTGATTGTTAGATCCACTCTGTGAAGGATGGTAAAAAAAAATGTGTCCTCATTTTAAAACAATATAATTGTGCTTCCATAATAATAATAAAAATATGTTTCCAGGTTCACAGTATTTTCCCCGTTGAGGTGAAATGCAATTAATGAGCAAGTGTTATCAATGTACAATTGCTATAATACCCTATCTGTATACGTGTTTAGTATTTGTCGATTATTTATTACTTTTCCTGTCTTACATATCTTAAAGGCCGTAAAGTATCCTTTGATATTTCTTATACTGATATGATATTTAAAAAGGGTTATTAAGATTAAATCAATGTGGTATAGAATTGAGGTTTAGGAGTTAGTGGGTGATAAGAATGGAGAAATCAGACGATGGGTAGTTGCTTGATAACAGCTTATGAGAGAAAGTATAAAAGGCATAGAGATAAAATAGGGAAGGAGACCGACATGAAATATTAAAAGAAAGTAGAGAGAATCGGTGATTAGGGTTTGGAAAAAAGAGTAGTGTGATAACAGGTGATGGAGTAAGATCAATTATGGAGGGATAAAACAAGATGGAGTAGCCTAGTCGATGACCAGACATGTATCGATGGCCAAAGCCGGAACGGAAGAAAACATGTATATAACTTTATTTTAAGGTGTGTACACCAGTAATTTTTGTGTGATAGAATCCCAGCAATGCTCTAAAGGGAAAATGTTTGAAACTCCTCAATCGTTTTTATATACTTCACCCATCCTCTTGCACCTTATCACTAGACGCTAAAACCACTATATTACCACACATTTTACAATTACATAGGCTATTGAAATAAAACTTCTAACATCATGTACCTTTAATATTTGTCACCCCTTGAGGGATAAAAGCACACATTGTATCTACTATTGAGTAAAGTGTGTATAAATTACGTTATTTGTTCTACCTCACCTGACAGGAGTCCCCCATGCCCTTGCCGGCGCACACCATGTTGCTTGTGATCCTGGAGGGTCGGTACTTGAGACTCCGGCACTCAGAGAGTGACAGGATTGGTACAGAGACTTGTTGTTGCACAGGGGCTAGAGCTCCGCCCTCAGATGTGCGACCCCAGCCGACCACTGTGCCGGTCTTACCGCTCAGATCCATCTCTGCAATGTTGGGTATCGAGTTACTATAGTCTTTACCGGTTACGAAAATGAGTGACCAGACTAGTCACCATTTACAATAAGTTGATAGAATATTCACTAGTTACCAGAAAGAGTTACTATGTTATTGAACGTTATTAACGGCTACAAGAACGACTTTTTTGAATATTCACAAATTACCAGAACCAGTTGGCACAATATTTAGCAGTCACCAGAACAAGTTTTAGGAATTTTTATCAGTAACAGAACGAAATATATAGGCCTACTAGTTACTAGAACAATTTGTCAAAATATTCACAAACTACCAGATAAATATAGTTACCAAAAGGTTATGAGAACGGGTTACGAGAATGTTTACTAGTTACCATTTCAAATTCAAAAAATATTAAATTCACTTGGTTATCAGAATATTTATCAGTTACCAGAAGACATAAATATTGCTCAACTTTCTAAAAATAGCCTGGAAGTTGGTTGGAGGACGTTTTCCAATTTTGTAAAAAATATATCGCCTGATGTGCACCAATTCCAAAAGTCAGAAATTCCAGAAATCCCAAAAGTAGTTATGAAGGATTCCACATATACAGTACCAGCCAAATGGAATTTTCAAATTAAAAAATCTAGGATACACTAAATCCGCTTGAGTGGCTTCTTTGACGATTTCATCATGCAAAACAAGCAGTTAACACGGGAATTAACTAAATAAAGTATATTATTAATATGATAATCATAGCATGGGAGATCTCCATTTCTGTGTCCACGAGCAGAAACACAGCCTTCAAATGCTTTTAGAATGTCTTAGTTAATAATATGCTAACATTCAGATGACATGCTGCGTCGGTGAAACAGTGTGTTGGAAATATTACTTTCCTAGATAAAGTATTGTCTTTTGTGAGGTTAATAATACATTTGTTCAAATAAATAATATGCTACTTAATGAATAGTAGAACAAAAGAAATATGTTAAATATTTAAAGTGAACTGGTCCACTCGACCCCTCTGGGACCCATTAAATAAATACTCCATTCAATATTCCAAAACGAGAAAACCCATTCTACTTTAGATACATCGAAGCTTTGTATTTATTTGTCGTTTGATATAAAGGTACACTAACTTTGGACTGGGATAAAGATAATGAACAATTACATTTACCATAGTTTTATACCAGAAATTCTCATTTGTTATGTTTTCCTTTGTAGGTACACACTAACCCTTATAAATTTTGAACATAATAATTAATTTATGATCAGAGAATATGGTTAGAACACAAAAATACTGGAATATTCTCCAGGTGTCATAACACCTTTTAAGCTGCTTAGCATAGAATCTCCTTAACAATATTTGTTACAATTACCGTAGTATGAGCAAAGCAAATAGTGTGAACTCAAGAAGTTAATCAATGTATATTATTTTCGATTAGTGATTTATTTAGCTAAATGTAAGGCAAACAAATATGTTTCACCATACAGAAAATAATATATTTTTAAGCCTCGCTCATTTCGTCACTTTGCCAAGGTCGTTAAGATAAAGTTATGTCAAAAATACGACCTTATTCACTGATAATGAAACAAAATTCAACATGTTTGTACAATATTGGGTTTTGCCATAGCGTCCTTAAATACTAGACCGCGGAGTTGGGTATGTGGCAACGTCGCACAGGCCGGCCTATTTCCATAGCAACAGTAATAACAACCGTGTCAACATAAACATTACGCAAACACTTTATTATCAATGAAAGCAAAAGCTGTTTCGGTAGGCCGGGGCTGCGGTGTTGCCACCTTTGTATCGCCCAAGTAATCTTCACTACCTACCTGTGGAAGGTAAGCAGACAGGACGTATGTTCTTCGTGTAGTTGACAGGTTTGCGAAGGCGCAGCAAAGCGATGTCGTGGTTGTACGAGTTGACGTCAAAGTTGCGGTGGCGTACGATGCTGGACACCATCCTCATTTTGGCGGGGGCGTCAGAGGTGGATGTCATGTCGTAGTCACCCAGGATAACTCGAATCTTGGTCCTCTTCAGACTAGAAACGTAAGAGAAAAAACATCTTAGACATCGATAAAAATGAGTGCAGTAGCACTTGGCAAAATTTTAGATATAGAAACTCAAAAAGCTTTAGACTTCTCAAAGAATTATTTAAAGATATTTGTTTAAGTTTATATTAAGTAAACTAATTTTTCCCTTCCACTTTTATTTAACTCTTGTAATTTTTCTTTGTGATATTTAAAAACTGAGTATATGAGTTCAAAGCAGATTAATGATGTTTGTAAAACGTTACACGTATGGTAGATAGCGAGGTGGCTGAGTCATCACAAGGCATGTGTAGTAATGTCAGTTTGAACTAACAAAAGTCTGTAACGGTTTGAAAATGGATCTAGAGTAATTTTGATAATCACACTTCTAATAAATATTCCTCAGCTTCTGATTTTAGCCGGTAACGTACACATATTATTCACTCTTTTAGCGAATTTCCCATATAGGGAATAAGCTATTACCGTAGTACTCATGGTAAGACCTGGACCCGGGACCGATTTTTTTTTCGTTTTGAGGTCCCTAGAGGCCAAAAATAGCATCCATTCAAATTCATATATATATATATATATATATATATATATATATATTTATATATATATGTGTCCGTTAGCGCGATAACTCGAGCAAAAATGATCCGATTTTGATGAAATTTGGTACAAACGTGTAAACCTACGTTTATTCGAACAAGTTCGCGAACCAGCGTGATCGGACCATGGGAACGGGGGTTTATGGAGGCTTTTATGGGGTAAAAATGGGGTTTTTCCCATTTTTTACCCAAAAAACTTAAATTTTTGCAATTTCTTTCCAAACTATTTTGTAGAGCTTAAAAAAACAAATAATTTAGTATATTGAAGCGTTATAATGCGCCTAATGGTTACGCAGAAAATTCAAAAAAATTGTAAATTTAAAATTCCCATGTTATTCTTATGGAGGATAAGTAAACTGTTGTAGTTTGCTTATTTATTAACATATTTTGGCCAAATTTGGAAAATGTTTTTATTTCTTACTAACTATTAACATTTTACATAAAAAAACACTTTAACCCTCCCTGTTGCAGCAAACCTAAGTATGTGTTAAACTGATTTGATTTAAATAGGGAATAAATGTGATATTTTTAAGGAGTCATTTTAGTGTAAATCCAATCAGGCAAATGGAAATTCGCTTAGTCTGCAGGTTTGCTGCGGCGGGGGTATTTTTAAATTATGCTTTACTCTTATTGTGGTCTATCTATAGTTATTTTTAGTAGAGATTGGTTTGTCTTCTAAATAAACACGTAACTTCAATGAGAATAAAATGTAATATCTTCAATTAACTATGTCTTGATGTTTATGGAATCTATCTCGCTAAATATATTCAAGTTACGTATTTGTATTATTATTCCATATCAACATTCACTCGATTGTTGTCATTTTGTTATCTCTAGGGCAATGCTTATGTATTCTAAGAATATTGTGATTGATATTAAAGAAATGCATCTTTTCGTTTGGAAAGGACCTCGCTTGAAATATACCCAGCGACATTGAGATTTGAAAGCGAGCACTAAACACTTTGCTACCCAGATCAGCAAGTATTATTGTACTAGTGTACATGTTGCTCGAATTCGAGCAATTGCAAAGTATTACAGGAGTTATTTCAAAACGAATAACAGTCATATTTACAATGAGTTTAAAAGAGTCAACTCAAAGAGTACCGGTGTGTAACTCAGACCATGTTTATCTTCGTTAATTCCGGCTGGTTTTCTCTTTCTTAAAATGCCTCGCTGTACAAGCAACACAGGTCATTGATAGAGGGCAAATTGAGAACGGAAAGTCGTTCTGGGGTAGTGTTAGGGCGCATTTGTAACCTAATAGTTGAGATTGTCCAGGGTCAGGTGCTGACTGTGATGAGTTAAGCCTATTACGCGCCACTGTTCTGTAGCTACGGTAGTTATCACGATTACGCCTCCTGTCTATGTTTCGTTGTCGCGTCCGAGGCATTTAAAAGATAAAAAACAACAAATAAACAAATTACAGCTACACAAAACAACGATAAATGCACAAATTTAAGTTACAATCGTGCTAAAACGATCCTTCATAGCGACACAAAACAACGATAAATACACAAATTTTAGATACAACCATACTAACCCGATCCGCCTTGGGGGTTATGTTTACAAAAACTCAAATAGTAAACAAATGTACTAAATGCGTTTCATTGAATTGAAAAATAAATAACAGCAATTAAATTATACAGCTGATCCAAATGTAAACAATTATGTTCTTCATAAGGATAACATGGGAACTTTCAAAGCCACTGGGACAGAGCCCAAGGGACTTTTTCAAAAATGTAAGGCCAGTTTGCAAATCTACGCGACACGCTCTTTCCAATGAGACGTCAATGGCTGAAATCGGTTAAGAAATGGCGGAGGAGTTCAACCGACAAAGTTTCATGTAGCGTATTAATTATATAGATTGGTTACATCATCGGTAATATTCATAGAAAATGTAATACAGTATTAATATATAAGTAATTTAAAAAACTTACTTGCGAACGCAATGAGCTGCAGTCAGGACGTAATCTTGATTCAGAAGGGAACCGCCACAATGGAATTGACCATTGTACAAAAGTCTGGCAACCCATGGATAACGGTTTATCCCTGTCGGAATGCCACCAACGATCCTCTGCTCTTGGTTGCTGACTCCGCATTCTGAAACACAAACTATGATGATAATGAGGATTCTACATAAACACAACCAACACAAATTAGGGTGAAGATAAAGACATTAGAAGGAACATATTGTAAAATTGTCTACTAAACTATGGATATTCATCCAAGTCTTCCCATACTGGTTTCCTTCAAGCATTTCGTCGTGACATCCTCAGCGATGGCAGCAAAATATTGACAATCTCTTGTTATTGTAGCGACGTCCATCGTAACTATCTTCTGCTATTGCAGTGAAATCGTGTCATTTCCTGTGATCTTAGTGACTTACTGACATCTTCGGCGATTGCAGCGACTGCCATCGTGAATTTTTAATCCCACAATCCTTGCAGACATATTACATACTATCGACCTTCAGATGAGGGTGTTATCTATAGCTTGAGAAACGTGAACCTACAGGTTCCTTAAGAACAGCTGAAAAAGTTTTTTTCTGTAAATTGTTTAGATTTTATTTCGTCCAAGTTTGATCCTTAAATGCAACGACATGCATATATCCCAGTTACTGATATATCCCAGTTATCGAAAATCCAAACCGCGTTTTGTCCAATTACGAACAAGAGGCTTGTCTGTATGTAAACATAGGCATAGGTATTTCCACATGTCCAGCATCGCCGATCTCGAACAAATAAAAAATTGGGTAGTTGGATGAGCGCAGCGACAGCAACGATGCCGTTTAAATCTGGTGATTGCTTTTAAATATTCATACAATTTGATGCAGCTGTGGTAATGGATCACTCATTGCATAATAACACATATGACTCGTGCTTATGCTGGACAAGATGGTACTTTGATACCAACGCCATCGTATTTACGAAAAAATATCGATCCAAAATGTGGTATTTGAAACTACATTAATATTTGACCACCCTGATTACGACAACCATAATTCTTCCAGCAACTAGGGCTGTAACATTTTCTTTAGAGTTAAAGGACTATAACATTTAATTTTAATCAGAACCGTTTAAGTTGTTTTTTTTATGGAAATCGTAGTTTCCATTATTTTACGGGGTTTCATGAAAAATCGCCATTAAAAGACAAATTTAAAAAAAGGAAAAACCCCTGGAAATACCATTGATTACTTCCTAAATACCAAATACATTAAAGATCGAGGTATATTTAGCTCTGTACATATACACACACAAAGACGTCACTTCGAAAACCACTATTTTGGGTTCAGGGGGACCCAAAAAGTATATTTCCACCAATAACTCAAACTCAAACATTTTAACGAAAAATTATATAGAGGAAAAAATACAAATTTGAATGATAATAATACGTCTTTTTGTGATATGTCTGGGCGTTAGGTGATCCACCGTTTGTGGGGGGAGTCACATTTGTGGAGGGGGCAGTGGGGGACAGCTCGTGGCTGCTGTTTATCCCCCTCCCCTTGTTACTTTGAGGCCATCCAGTGAGCCGGATCGTGTACACTATAGACACAGTCTGTACACAGATTTGCACCTGATTTGGCGGCGTTTCCACCCCACTGGACTAAACCGTATCATGTACTAGCCATACTCCTCACTCCGACCAATAATCCATGCAATTACAGAACCATTTTTGTATCTTGCTTTACAAAGATGAAATGCTCTTCCTTTTGCTTATATCAGCAGTAAAATATTTAGAAGTACGCTTGGATAAGGTAAGTTATAGTTATTTTTATACAATGTATATTTGAAGAGGTTTACACTAACCATTAGTTATGGGCTCACTTATGTTCACTGACTTCTTACTTTTCTTTCACGCAACAACAGAAGAGAACAAAACCCTTTTATGTTGTATCTTGTTTGTTTTTCGATGAAACTTCGTTGTTTTCAATACTTCACCAATCACATTTAATTATTTGTTTCATACATAAGGCTAACGCAAATCTCAATCGAGTACATAAGGTACATACATATATACATACATAGTTCCTCTTTTATAAATATAGATTTGCACTTGTCCATCATTATACAAAATATGCAGATAAAATCATACCTAGTAGGGTCTAAAATATGTTCCATCTTAGTATTCCAGCAGAGAAAGTTACTCGAACGTAAAAACCCGTTAGTGTGCGTAGGTGCGTAAATTTTACCAAACACGACAGTCTGAGATATCTAAAAAAGGAATAAACCTTGCTACATATTAAATATACGGTATATAACAACACATAACACATCTGTGGGAATGCGTATATATTACTTTCCTCAGAATGTAATAACATTGCATAATGGAAAATATACTATTGTGATTCAAATGTGGAATAAACGATATTCATATAGTTGATTTATTAAACTGTAAACGGAACTTTTATCTTGTAACACATTTAAAGGATTGCAAGACAAAAAAAGACAATTATAAATTAATTGCTATACATAGCCTACTAAATAAATGTTTTATAACAAAGTCGTGTAATTATTTAGACAAAATAATGAATGCAGGATAATTTTTAGAATGGAGTAGTGGGGTGGTGTTTGTGGATTTTTGTTCATTGACTATTGGGTACTCAAAGTGATGTCCTATCTATTTATGGACCAGCTGTAGGAATTATTTTATTGGAAAATCCTAATTTAATGAGCCACTCACAGAATATGCTACTAAGCCTAAAATTCTATGTTCTCCTTCTTGCTTTTGTTTCTGTGAAATGTTATGTTCACAATTATTATTTGTTCTATTGCTATAGTCGCCTTAAAAAGTTAGTTCACTCCACAGAAACAGTAAATGATAACAGTGCACTCTGTCAGTGGCTTCGTTCAATTATGTTTATTTTAAATAAAAAACTAGCTACATTGTAAGTAAACGTCTGGAATGGGATAGCATTTGTTGCTGACTAGTGCCATTTCAATCAAGAATCAATAAAGGTTAGTCAAAAAGAATTTTGATTTATAGGCTAAATGCTTTGTGGTAGGTTTTTAATAACAGAGCCGACACTAGTAAGTCTTGTGTTGTTTAAGTAAGGTTAGGTTAAGTTAGGCTAGGATGGGTTTGGTTAGGTTAAACTAGGTTAGTTTCAATAACTATAATATTAACAGGGCAAACTATAATATTTGCTGTCCGCTTTTTGGACATATCCGCTACACAATAGCATAACCTTTACACCAATTTCAAATTTCTATCTTGAAAAATGCCCCAAGATATAAAATATTAATATTATGTTTATCACAAACAGACCGACAGACAGAAATCCAGGCATTTTAGACCCATACTTATTCGATATTTTATGTTTGTCTTAGCCCAAGGAACAAGTCCACAAAATATGTCCTGAATATTCGGAAACACCCTGTATAGATAGATTGATACGTTTGTACCATTGTAAAATTGAAATTAACTGTGAGTGCAGACATAAGCATGCAGTATTGAGCAATATTGGCACCATTAAGTCACCCCAGGCTGGTCAAGTAAATCACTACACATGACTGGATCACTTCAAACATGTACACTCTGTCTAGTCCTATACACTGCAATTGTAACTGTCACTAGATTTGTTGGTGTATCTGCTTATTGGACAATATTGCCTTTCATTTCACATTTAAGATATTTTAATCTTCTACCCAGGGTGAACATTAATTTTAATCCAGTTTTATGTCTGTTAGAAATTTATGTTTTAATCATTTTTATAAATAAATTAAATAGCCTCCTACGAGGTCGCGGCTAGACAGTGAGTGGCAACATTGCCGTCCCGTCAATTAAGTGAATAATGGATGGTATAGGCAATGTTTATGTTCACACTTTTGTTGTTTCTGTTATTACCATGGCAATATGCCGTTGCGACGTTGCCACACACCAACGCCGCGGTTTTGGATTGGAGGCTGTGATAGTACACGCTATCCAGTTTTGTGCTGCTTTCTTCTTTAAGTGGTTTATAAAAACAAGAAGATTCAAAATTTACAAAGCAATACAGTGAAGCAAATTAAAAGTCGAAACCCGTCGGTGGTGAATAAAATGATAAAAATGGTAAACATACAGTTTTTGAAGCAACTAACATATTGCTAATATCTCTTGAATTTAACACTAATAAAAAGTACTGTCTAATTTAAATAAATACTGTAACTAAATACATATATTTATTCACACACTTATTGGAACATAGGTAAAGGCAGGTATCTTTTGAGTTTAGCAAACTAGTAGCAAACAAAATATCAAAAAATTTCAAACAAAACGTGTAAATACCTACATAATACATAAAGTGTGGGTTGTTCAAACCCGTTTACAATATAAATATTTATCTCTGCAATAATGTAGATGATTTGAACTAATTCAAACAACTCTATAAACTAATACTCTATGAAAGTAAACAATTGTAATGATAAATAACGCACATGCATAGAAGGTCTCCATTAAACAGATTATGATGACCAAATACTGAGTGAGATTTCCATTGCCAATGCTATCATGTGTTTATTTTAAGTTTTTAGTAAAAAGTCTTTAAGCTTAAAAGTATAACTGGGTGTCCATGTACTGAAAATAGACACAGCAACTATAGCGCTTGTCCTATCCCATTCCGACTGATGATCTTTCTAAACCAAAACTTGGATTTTTTATGGTCCTCTTTGGTAGTTTTAGCACTTTTTAATGTAAACCCCTACTTTTATTGTCTATTATCTATACATTCTCGAATTATTTTGGACTCATTGGACTTTCGAAAACTTTCAAGGTCAATAATTATTATTTAGTATTTTGTGTTTTTATTGGGTTGTATCACAAATATTAGGTATCCGTTAATAAATACAGTAACCTATTGTAATCTCCCTAAAACTGTTTATCCTTAGTGAAACTTCCAATTCCACTCCAAAAATATACCGTTTGTCACAAAAAATGCAAAACATTATTCCAAAGACATTCTAACCTAAAATATTTATATGACTACATTTGGCGGGAACGAAAAGGGTATTGCGCGAGAGAAAACCAATTACATCCGTTGTTTTTGTTTTTGCTCAACGGCAATACACCAGAGCCGTATCGCAGACAAGTAGTTTATCTATATGTAAACATAGGCTTTTACCCAT